AAGCATTAAACAGAGGCTGAGCAAGCCACACGGGCATCCTGGAATTCCACACGGCCGTGTGGGTCGTGGCCGTGTGGAAATCACCGAGCCTTCACACGGGCAGCTGGGAAAGCCACACGGCCGTGCGGCCTGACCGCGTGATCGGGAATTTCTGTTTAAAACTCGTTTTTCAGCCAAAGGAAAGGGGAGAGCTGGGTTTTTGGTTCCCAAACACCCAAGGGACGAACCCTAGAGAGAGAGAGCGACTTGGGAACATTCTTGGAGCTATTTTGGAGGATTTCTTCGCCATTGGAGCTCGGGAATCAAGCTTGGAGATGTAGATTCAAGATCTAGATCAGATTTCTGCAGTCTCTCTCTTCTATATGGAGTAACTTCCCTTCACTTAGGTTTTGAGGAACCCTAGTTCCATGTGTTAGGATCTTTCTTGTATGAAGTTTTGAATGCTATATTGTTTGATTATAATCGATTGAGGCATGATTTATTGAGTCAATTGAATCTTGATCAAATTCTCTTGATTTCTGCTTTAACCTATGATAGATAGAATCTGATCAGGTTAAGAGAGATTCCTTGATTGATGGTGGTGAATTGGTTATGCGAGAGTTAGTCAATCTACTGCTTTGTACTGGAATCCAATTCCGGTAGTGGAGTTCTGTGCTCATAGCCTCAGCTTTCTATCCCGGTGAAGGTTAGTCGCCTGCCGGGTAGTTGGACTGAGAGGGCTTGGCCAGCTTAAGAGATTCCAAGCTACTGTCGGATCTTCCGTAGTTTAATCAACAGTAGATCAACCAAAGGTAATTGCAACTTGGACCTAATTGAGGAGCTAGGGGGAATCATACCTAAGTGAGTTCACAACTTGTAATTAGTAGAGTAGTCAGTAGAGTAGTTTATAAATCAATCCTTAATCTAGTTTGCTAGATAATGAACTGAAGCTGAGTAATAGTAACTCTAGAGACCCGTGGATTCGATATTTATTACTTGTGCCACTATACTGCAGCCCCTTTTATTGGTTACACTTGGCCATTGTTAGGTGTTGTGTTTTAGCGTGTCAAGTTTTTGGCGCCGTTGCCTGGGACTTTCTAGATTATTAGGAAAGGCAGAAGTTTATTACTTTAGCGTTTTTTTTTCACACTTGCTTTTCACTTGGGTGTTTTTTGTTTTGTTTTGTTGGTGCAGATCTGAATCATGGATCCTAATGGCATTACCCCGAGACTCCCTACAGCAATCAAGGAGGAGAAGACTATGGATTCGGGTTCCAGTACCAACCCCCTTACTACGTAGAACAATTAGACCCCTGGGCATATCAAGAACAACCTCATTACCGAGAATAATTTCTCCCACAATCAGAAGGGCCATCGGAGCTGGAGTTACCCATGGCAGCCTTCACGGGCCATTCTGCAGAGCCATGCTACACTCCACAGTCAGATCCAAACTATCACTTGAGGCTTCTCGTGGAGCAGATTGCTCGAGTACCTGAGAGATCCTTTCCCGAGATGGATCCTCATATCCAGGCCATTGCCCAAACTGACTTCTCCTTTCCCCGTGAAACAGAGGATACCCTTCGGAGCATAAAGAAGCACATAGAGGTCATAGAGAAAGCTTGTGCACAGTTTTCTCAAGACAACCTTTATGCTGCCATACAAGTAGAGGAGGAGGAAGAAGAAGGCAATCATGAGGATGTTCAAGAGCATGCAGAAGTTGTCACGGAAAGCTCCCATGATAATCATGATCAAGTGTATCCTCTGGTGGTAGATCACAAATGTCCCCATTTCCTCTCTGATATGCTGGGCCCGAGCGAGGAGATGCAAGATGATCTCATTGAAGAAAATACATGGCGACTTGCTCTCCAATCTGTGCTAGAAGAAGAAGAGCAAGAAAGGGTGCAGAAAGAAGTTGTGGAGGATGACAAAAGTGAAGCAGAAGGAGTTCTTGATCATTTCCCAGGGGGTGATACCACATGAAGAAGAAAGGGGGGTTGAAGAAGCGAGTGGTGTCCAGGCTGAGGATGAAGTTGAGGTGGAAGAGGCTTGCACCGGCCCTATAATACAAGTAATATCCCCACCAAATTTCGAGGAACTGCTTAGCAAGGACCCATTTGCAGTGTCTTTTTGCCAGACCAAGGCCACATCGACATCGGTCCCTCTTGGTGGACACGATGGTGGCCAATCGATGTTGTCATATATGGTTTGGGGCAATGAGACGAGAGAAGAGAAGAAAAGGTCTCGAGGATGGAGACTTCATCTGCATCAAGTGCCGGAGCTTCCATCACCAGTCATACCACATGCTCGTGACTTGCGACTCCACCTCATTGACGAGAATCTCAACTTCAAGGAGGTTCTAGCATGGCCCGAAACTTAGGAGCCATCGTCTGGCTCCCGACGTGAAAGAAGCGCTTGTTGGGAGGCAACCCAACCAGTCGGTTTGCATTTCTTTCTCTATTTCTCCTCGGTTGAGTCAGTTTTGTTATTTGATTTTAGAGTCAATAACTCAACCTTTGTGAGATTTTGTGTGGTGTTTGCGTTCTGATTACTCTCTCTTCCTGGAATGCAACGCCTGACCCGTCCATCATCATTCACCCTTGATCTGGTAACTTCGTTCTACCCTCCTTATCTTTCCTCCATTGAGGACAATGTCGTGCTTAAGTGTGGGGGGGGGGGGGTGTTCGATTATGTATGCGGGTGAATGTTTGGCTGATTGTGTGCTTGGAGCCTAGTCCACTGTCCAAATTTTTAAATTTGAGGGCTCCAAGTACGTGTTTCCTTGCAAATTGCCTGCTCAGTATGCTTTGAATCGACTTCTCTATAGTAATGTGCAACCTAGGGAGGTAGTGTAGCACTATGGAGGATGTTGAAGTATAAGATTTTTCCTATCTAGCTCTTTGTTGTGCCAGTTGATTTTGTGAATTAGTGGAGCTTAGACCGTTGAATTCATGTGGTAATGGGGACTTTGTTTGGATTGTGTTATGGACTCGTGTATCGAACAGGGTGCTCATATGGAAAACGGGAAGCAGTTGGTCCTCCATGTCGAAATCATTGAAATCTTAAACATGGGGTAAGCCCAACGTGTGTGGCACCGTTCATTGCACAAAATTGGGTTTTGGAAGAGATTTTAGTGATCCTTAGTGGGGTACTCCTACAAGGTGAAGCTAAGCTGTCTCTAGTACAATTAAAATTTTCACCCGTTGAACTGTTTGCCTACTTGAGGATGTGTTTTTAAGGGCACGGATAGAACTTCCGACCCCCCTTGATTTCATTGACCCTCCACACGAGTTGAGGAAAAGGAGTTAAAGGAAGTACTCTGGCGAGCGCTAGATGTACAAAAATTGCTCTTGCTCGACTAATAAGGGTCGACCGTGCAAAAGACTGCAGTTGGAACCCCCGCCAAGTGAATGAAGAAAAAAAGAGAAAAAGAAATGTAAATGAAAGTGCAAAAAGGGGTTCCAACGGTGAAATGAAGTGAAAGAGCACCCCGGTACAACGAGTCCTTGGTTGTGAATGGTGTGAGTCCCTTTTTCCATGAACTAACTGTCTTACTTCTACTTCTTCTCATGTTCCTGGCTTGAGTCTAGTACTCGCATTGAGAGAGATAGGGGACGTCTTAGAAGACCAGTTGACCTCGTAAGCTGCTATATGATCTAGGAAATCCTCTACCAACGATCGGGGTTGTTTGTTGCTATAGAGGTCTAGAGAGCTGCATTGGTTTGAGTTAGGTTTGCTTGGGGACAAGCAAACAGTTAAGTATGGGGGGATTTGATGACTCGGTATTTGCACATGTTTTCCCCTTTGTTTCTTGATTGTTTGAGGTTGAATTATTGCGTCTTTGTCCTATTTTATGCTAGGTTGTGTTCCTTTGTCACATTTCAGGTCCTAGCACATAAAGTGAAGCATAGGCGCAAGTTTCAAATCAATCAGAGATCAATTGACGATTCGCGAGAAGAAACTAGGGCATGACCTGAAGAAGAATGGATTTCTACCTCACTTTATGGACAAAGAATCATGCAAGCTTGTCATGAAAAGAATGAGGACGAGACTACGAGCATCTGGGATCAAACGGGGACTGATTCGGAGTCCGGACGAGGGAGAAACGAAGCATTAAACAGAGGCTGAGCAAGCCACACGGGCATCCTGGAATTCCACACGGTCGTGTGGGTCGTGGCCGTGTGGAAATCACCGAGCCTTCACACGGGCAGCTGGGAAAGCCACACGGCCGTGTGACCTGACCGCTTGATCGGGAATTTCTGTTTAAAACTCGTTTTTCAGCCAAATGAAAGGGGAGAGCTGGGTTTTTGGTTCCCAAACACCCAAGGGACGAACCCTAGAGAGAGAGAGCGACTTGGGAACATTCTTGGAGCTATTATGGAGGATTTCTTCGCCATTGGAGCTCGGGAATCAAGCTTGGAGATGTAGATTGAAGATCTAGATCAGATTTCTGCAGTCTCTCTCTTCTCTATGGAGTAACTTCCCTTCACTTAGGTTTTGAGGAACCCTAGTTCCATGTGTTAGGATCTTTCTTGTAGGAAGTTTTGGATGCTATATTGTTTGATTATAATCGATTGAGGCATGATTTATTGAGTCAATTGAATCTTGATCAAATTCTCTTGATTTCTGCTTTAACCTATGATAGATAGAATCTGATCAGGTTAAGAGAGATTCCTTGATTGATGGTGGTGAATTGGTTATACGAGAGTTAGTCAATCTACTGCTTTGTACTGGAATCCAATTCCGGTAGTGGAGTTCTGTGTTCATAGCCTCAGCTTTCTATCCCGGTGAAGGTTGGTCGCCTGCCGGGTAGTTGGACTGAGAGGGCCTGGCCAGCTTAAGAGATTCCAAGCTAGTGTCGGATCTTCCGCAGTTTAATCAACAGTAGATCAACCAAAGGTAATTGCAACTTGGACCTAATTGAGGAGCTAGGGGGAATCATACCTAAGTGAGTTCACAACTTGTAATTAGTAGAGTAGTCAGTAGAGTAGTTTATAAATCAATCCTTAATCTAGTTTGCTAGATAATGAACTGAAGCTGAGTAATAGTAACCCTAGAGATCCGTGGATTCGATATTTATTACTTGTGCCACTATACTGCAGCCCCTTTCATTGGTTACACTTGGCCATTGTTAGGTGTTGTGTTTTAGCGTGTCAAGTTTTTGGCGCCGTTGCCGGGGACTTTCTAGATTATTAGGAAAGGAAGAAGTTTGTTACTTTAGCGGTTTTTTTTCCACACTTGCTTTTCACTTGGGTGTTTTTTTTGTTTTGTTGGTGCATATATGAATCATGGATCCTAATGGAATTACCCCGAGACTCCCTACAGCAATCAAGGAGGAGAAGACTATGGATTCGGGTTCCAGTACCAACCCCCTTACTACGTAGAACAATTAGACCCCTGGGCATATCAAGAACAACCTCATTACCGAGAAGAATTTCTCCCACAATCAGAAGGGCCATCGGAGCTGGAGTTACCCATGGCAGCCTTCACGGGCCATTCTGCAGAGCCATGCTACACTCCACAGTCAGATCCAAACTGTCACTTGAGGCTTCTCGTGGAGCAGATTGCTCGAGTACCTGAGAGATCCTTTCCCGAGATGGATCCTCATATCCAGGCCATTGCCCAAACTGACTTCTCCTTTCCCCGTGAAACAGAGGATACCCTTCGGAGCATAAAGAAGCACATAGAGGTCATTGAGAAAGCTTGTGCACAGTTTTCTCAAGACAACCTTTATGCTGCCATACAAGTAGAGGAGGAGGAAGAAGAAGGCAATCATGAGGATGTTCAAGAGCATGCAGAAGTTGTCACGGAAAGCTCCCATGATAATCATGATCAAGTGTATCCTCTGGTGGTAGATCACAACTGTCCCCATTTCCTCTCTGATATGCTGGGCCCGAGCGAGGAGATGCAAGATGATCTCATTGAAGAAATTACATGGCGACTTGCTCTCCAATCTGTGCTAGAAGAAGAAGAGCAAGAAAGGGTGTAGAAAGAAGTTGCGGAGGATGACAAAAGTGAAGCAGAAGGAGTTCTTGATCATTTCCCAGGGGGTGATACCACATGAAGAAGAAAGGGGGTTGAAGAAGCGAGTGGTGTCCAGGCTGTGGATGAAGTTGAGGTGGAAGAGGCTTGCACCGACCCTATAATACAAGTAATATCCCCACCAAACTTCGAGGAACTGCTTAGCAAGGACCCATTTGCAGTGTCTCTTTGCCAGACCAAGGCCACAGCGACATCGGTCCCTCTTGGTGGACGCGATGGTGGCCAATCGATGTTGTCATATATGGTTTGGGGCAATGAGACGAGAGAAGAGAAGAAAAGGTCTCGAGGATGGAGACTTCATCGGCATCAAGTGCCCGAGCTTCCATCACCAGTCATACCACATGTCATGACTTGCGACTCCACCTCATTGACGAGAACCTCAACTTCAAGGAGGTTCTAGCATGGACCGAAACTTAGGAGCCATCGTCTGGCTCCCAACGTTAAAGAAGCGCTTGTTGGGAGGCAACCCAACCAGTCGGTTTGCATTTCTTTCTCTATTTCTCTTAGGTTGAGTCAGTTTTGTTATTTGATTTAAGAGTCAATAACTCAACCTTTGTGAGATTTTGTGTGGTGTTTGCGTTCTGATTACTCTCTCTTCCTGGAATGCACCGCCTGACCCGTCCATCATCATTCACCCTTGATCTGGTAACTTCGTTCTACCCTCCTTATCTTTCCTCCATTGAGGACAATGTCGTGCTTAAGTGTGGGGGGGGGGGGGTGTTCGATTATGTATGCGGGTGAATGTTTGGCTGATTGTGTGCTTGGAGCCTAGTCCACTGTCCAAATTTTTAAATTTGAGGGCTCCAAGTACGTGTTTCCTTGCAAATTGCCTGCTCAGTATGCTTTGAATCGACTTCTCTATAGTAATGTGCAACCTAGGGAGGTAGTGTAGCACTATGGAGGATGTTGAAGTATAAGATTTTTCCTATCTAGCTCTTTGTTGTGCCAGTTGATTTTGAGAATTAGTGGAGCTTAGACCGTTGAATTCATGTGGTAATGGGGACTCTGTTTGGATTGTGTTATGGACTCGTGTATCGAACAGGGTGCTCATATGGAAAACGGGAAGCAGTTGGTCCTCCATGTCGAAATCATTGAAATCTTAAACATGGGGTAAGCCCAACGTGTGTGGCACCGTTCATTGCACAAAATTGGGTTTTGGAAGAGATTTTAGTGATCCTTAGTGGGGTACTCCTACAAGGTGAAGCTAAGCTGTCTCTAGTACAAGTAAAATTTTCACCCGTTGAACGGTTTGCCGACTTGAGGATGTGTTTTTAAGGGCACGGATAGAGCTTCCGACCCCCCTTGATTTCATTGACCCTCCACACGAGTTGAGGAAAAGGAGTTAAAGGAAGTACTCTGGCGAGCGCTAGATGTACAAAAATTGCTCTTGCTCGACTAATAAGGTTCGACCGTGCAAAAGACTGCAGTTGGAACCCCCGCCAAGGGAATGAAGAAAAAAAGAGAAAAAGAAATGTAAATGAAAGTGCAAAAAGGGGTTCCAACGGTGAAATGAAGTGAAAGAGCACCCCGGTACAACGAGTCCTTGGTTGTGAATGGTGTGAGTCCCTTTGTCCATGAACTAACTGTCTTACTTCTACTTCTTCTCATGTTCCTGGCTTGAGTCTAGTACTCGCATTGAGAGAGATAGGGGACGTCTTAGAAGACCAGTTGACCTCGTAAGCTGCTATATGATCTAGGAAATCCTCTACCGACGATCGGGGTTGTTTGTTGCTATAGAGGTCTTGAGAGCTGCATTGGTTTGAGTTAGGTTTGCTTGGGGACAAGCAAACAGTTAAGTATGGGGGGATTTGATGACTCGGTATTTGCACAGGTTTCTTGATTGTTTGAGCTTGAATTATTGCGTCTTTGTCCTATTTTATTCTAGGTTGTGTTCCTTTGTCACATTTCAGGTCCTAGCACATAAAGTGAAGCATAGGCGCAAGTTTCAAATCAATCAGAGATCAATTGACGAATCACGAGAAGAAACTCGGGCATGACCTGAAGAAGAATGGATTTCTACCTCACTTTATGGACAAAGAATCATGCAAGCTTGTCATTAAAAGAATGAGGACGAGACTACGAGCGTCTGGGATCAAACGGGGACTGATTCGGAGTCCGGACGAGGGAGAAACGAAGCATTAAACAGAGGCTGAGCAAGCCACACGGGCATCCTGGAATTCTACACGGCCGTGTGGGTCGTGGCCGTGTGGAAATCACCGAGCCTTCACACGGGCAGCTGGGAAAGCCACACGGCCGTGTGGCCTAGCCGCGTGATCGGGAATTTCTGTTTAAAACTCGTTTTTCAGCCAAAGGAAAGGGGAGAGCTGGGTTTTTGGTTCCCAAACACCCAAGGGACGAACCCTAGAGAGAGAGAGAGCGACTTGGGAACATTCTTGGAGCTATTATGGAGTTCTGTGTTTGTACTGGTTTGTACTGGAATCCAATTCCGGTAGTGGAGTTCTGTGTTCATAGCCTCAGCTTTCTATCCCGGTGAATGTTAGTCGCCTGCCGGGTAGTTAGACTGAGAGGGCTTGGTCAGCTTAAGAGATTCCAAGCTACTGTCGGATCTTCCGCAGTTTAATCAACAGTAGATCAACCAAAGGTAATTGCAACTTGGACCTAATTGAGGAGCTAGGGGGAATCATACCTAAGTGAGTTCACAACTTGTAATTAGTAGAGTAGTCAGTAGAGTAGTTTATAAATCAATCCTTAATCTAGTTTGCTAGATAATGAACTGAAGCTGAGTAATAGTAACTCTAGAGACCCGTGGATTCGATATTTATTACTTGTGCCACTATACTGCAGTCCCTTTCATTGGTTACACTTGGCCATTGTTAGGTGTTGTGTTTTAGCGTGTCAATGCTCATTTCCCGAAAACCAGCGGGATAGACGATTTTTTATTCGATTTTCTGGAATTCGGTTTCTATAAAACTTACTCCACCTCATCATATTACCAGAAACAATATTGTTTCACAAGGTAACAGGTACTTGATTTTGGTTCATAAGGCTGATTTTTGATTCGTTGCATCATTCATATCTCTTTCCTACTAAAATTCACTATTTTTATCACGTGTTTCCCAAAAAAAAATGTACAACAACAAGCTATATACCCCATTACATTATCAAATTTCATACCTCACCTTCCTCCGGCTAAATGGCTGGGGCCCACGCTAGTATACTATCTGAAGAAGAAAAAAACGTTGATATTTAACTCTTTTACAAGAATACACTTCATAATTGAATGAGAAATATAATAGAAAAAAATAACTGAGTCTAAATATTTGAAAGATAAAGTCTTAATATGTCCTTAGGATAGAAATAAGATTTTACATAGGTTAAAAGATGAGAAATACATGTAGATATTAATACAAATCATAGTAAAACCGGCAGAGAACATGAGAGGAAGGACATAACAAGTTGAAAGCAATACCTATGTCCCAACCCACACTACTACAAATCGAATAATACATACCCAAACAAACCAGAATAGGTCGGATAGCACGAGTCATATCAGAGATTGCCAGGGTGAATTCATTTTAGTGGTCATTTCCTTGCATTCAATCCCAATTACATCCAAATCCAATTGGCAATTAAGACAGAAGGACGAGGAAGGCTTTCTGAAACCTGAGGACACACAAAACCTTATTTTTGGGATTTTTCCAGAAATAGCACCTTTAAAAAAATTACAAAAATAGCACCCAGCTGAAAAAATTTACACTAATAGCACCCTTTTTTATGGACCGCACCCTAGAGGTGCGTTTTATATATAAACTGCACCCTCAGGATGCGTTTTATACATAAACCGCACCTCTAAGGTGCGGTTTATAATCCTGGACCAAAACCGCATCTTGGCCAAGCGGTTTCAGGTCTGACCTACAGAAACCGCTTGGCCGAGGTGCGATTTTGGCCTGACCTAAACCGCGTCTCCAAGGTGCGGTTTTGCTACACAAACCGCACCCCAAGGTGCGGTTTTCGTCAATTAATTTCCGACATGCCATGCAGAATAACAGACGTGGGTCTGCATGGCAGACGAAAACCGCACCTCTAAGGTGCGGTTTTCATCAGTGATTTTGCCTATAAAAGACTTCCCGAAAAACCACTTCTCTTCACACCTCTCCTTCTCCCTTTTCAATTTTCTGTTGTAGCTCTATATTTCTTTAGTAGTTTTGCGATTAACGTTAACTCGTAAGTTTATTTTGTATTACTTTTTATTGTTATTTTTTATTTTTATGATATTAACTGAACTATGGTTTTTTTGCAGATGGCATTCCAAAAGTTCACGCTTGGCTTACGGTGGAATGGTTACACGGAAGAGACCGGAAAGGGGGTCACCTACGTCGGTGGCAATTTTCAGAAGATAAAGGTCGCTATCAGACCGCTGCTTGAAGACCTCCATCAAATGTGCACTAACGTTACTTGCATAGATGGCACGAAAAGAGTTGATCATATGGTGTACCGATATCCAAACAGAGAAAATGGGTCATTGTGGCATGAGGAATATCTCATAACCACTCAGGATGAGGTAGATGCCATGCTCTAATTCATGAGGTCCAACAATCTTTCCAAAGCCGAGATGTTCGTTTACACCGAGCCGGTCATAGGCGTTGGAGGTCATTCTGGACACGTTCAAACATCTGGTATCCATGGTGGAGGTGAATTATATGGCGATCATCCCTACCAAAATTACCATGATCCTCATTCCTATTTTCAGTACCAATAGCAAGGTGAAGGTCATCATCAATCTTTCCCGTCATATGAAGAAGAAGTTCCGGATCTCCCCAACCAACCTCAGTACAACTTCCAATCAGGCAGCGGTAGTTTTTACAACTACCATTATGGAGCTGATGAAGGTGCCTTTCATGAGCTGGATCAGATGGAAGAAGCCCTGCCAGCACCAGTCAGTGACCCCTCCGATGAAGAAGGAGAGAACAACGTCAGTGCAGACAGCTCCGACCCTCTTGAAGGTGCTGATGATTCAGGACCAGAGTCAGACTCAGATAATGATGATGAGGTGGCTCGTGACAGTGTACCAGTCCCCTACTACAATCACATTCCAGACGACAATTGGATGGTTGACAGCGACATAGAGCCGCCAGAGGTCCCAATATGGGGTCCACTCACTGGGTTTATGAAGGGCCAACAATTTGGCTCGAAGAAGGAGGTGTGGCACGCCATTGAGACTGAACCAATGACTCGGCATTTTGAATGGCACACAACTCATTCCAACACTAAAAGGCTCATAGTCAGATGCCGTAATCATCACGAGGGGTGCAATGTTAGGATTCGGGCCATCAACAGCAAGAGACACGGCCACTGGGTCATATCTCGTGCGGTGAACACACACACACATGTGTGTCATCCATAACTTACCAAGGCCATCGACAGTTGAAATCCAGGATGGTTGCTGCGGCTATCAAGCATCTAATTGAGCAAGATCCGGACCTGAAGGTGAAAGTCATAATCGCTGACATTGCAAGTCGTTATGGTTATATGATTAACTATAAGAAGGCGTGGCATGGAAAGCAGAAAGCTCTGGCCGCCGTCTTTGGTGATAGGGAAGAATCATATGCATTCCTTCCCAGGTTAATTTTGGCATTGGAGGCGTCTAACCCTGGCACGGTTTTCTCCCCTTGATACCAAGATGAAGAGATACAACCCCCAGAGCTAGGTAACAAGCGCCATTTCAGACGACTTTTTTGGGCATTCAAGCCATCTATTGATGGTTTTGGCTTCTGTGTCCCTGTGATCCAAGTGGATTGTACATTCCTTACCGGCAAGTACAAGGGCACTCTCCTGATTGCCAGTGGGGCGGATGCAAACAGACAAGTCTTTCCTTTAGCCTTCGCCATCATTGAGGGAGAGAATGCTGATAGCTATGGATGGTTTTTCGGGCAAATTCAGCTCCACGTCACTAGGAGGACGACCTGACAATAATCTCTTATCGGCACGCCGGCATTAGAGCTGCCATCTTTGGTTTAGATCCATCCTGGAAGTGGTCCCAAAGGTGGTGCATACGACACTTCAAGAGCAACTGTAACCATCATTTCAAGCGGAAGAAGCTTGCTGATAATTTGTGGTGGATTGGTAAGTTCTTTATTAGCCGTTTAATTTTGTCAGCTAACAATATCTTGTAATCAGGAGAGTGGTGCACTTGTTAGACTCTTTCTGAAGAGATGCATGCCTAAGGAAATGGAGTTTTAAGCGATTATCATGATCATCCCATTTCCTGGGAAAATCGGGTTTTAAGCGATCTTCGGATCCCCCCTTTTTCTGTCAAACAGGCTGTGTTTCTAAGGAGATGTATACCTCTCCTAAGAGTCTAACGAGAGTACCTCCGGGTTGTTTGAATTGTACTAAACTGCCGAAAATTGACTAACGTACTACTTTTCTGTGTCTTCCTCAGCGGTTGCCTACCAAGAGGAAAAAATTTCTGGAGAAGATGTAGAAGATGCGCGAGTTATGCCCTGAAGGGGCACAGTGGCTGGATGGACACGACCTATCCATGTGGACATTTCATAAAGATGGAGGGACAAGATGGCGTATTGCCACAACGAACTCAGGTGAGAGTATCAACTCTGTCTACAAGGTCGTTCGTGCACTGCCAATCTCTGCCATTGTGGAGATGACTTTTTGGAAACGAATGCATGGTTCGTCAACGGACTCCACTGGGCAAGGACGAACGAGGCACAGAGAAAGGTCCATGCCTATAAAGTCATGGAAGTAATGGAGAATGACAATCACAAGAGCAGTCGACATAGTGTAACCGTTATGAATCGGGCAAATGGCGAGTATAGCGTGACGACCGGACATCGGGAGGATGGTAGACGGGGGGCCACCGCCATGAAGTTTTGGTCAATTTCAGGACAAAAGTTGGTGAGTGCTCATGCCAGAAGTATCAGGGGAGAGGGTGGCCTTGTTCTCATGCAATGGCCGTAATTAAAAACAGGAGCAAAGACCCCCGTCACTTCGTTAGTCCATTCTTCAATATCGACTCACTCAAAAACACCTATGGACGGAGTTTCCGTGCATTGCCTGATGAAGCTTATTGGCCGCTGTACGAAGGAAAATTGATCATCCCGCCGTTCGGACAGAGACATGAACCGGGTCGCCCGAGGAAAAAGAGAATTCATAACGAAATGGATCAAAGTCGAAGACCACCACGAGGCCCAAGACGATGTTCAATATGCAAAGTTCCAGGACATGATAAACGAAGGTGTCCAGGACCGATTGGTCCGCAAAATCTGGGTGCTGATGTGCCGGACTCAGCTAATGCGACATAGTTTGCTTTTATCATTTTTTTCAAGCTAGTTGAGACTCTTACTTTGGAAGTAATAGTGTATTGTTGATTGAACGAATTGGGATTATATCAAGATTAGAGGAATAGTTCAAAGGACATAGAAATAAAACCAAATTGAAACAACACTCAATTAAATAAACTAAGATAATATGAATAGTTCTTTGTTTATTGAAATAAAAACCAAATTGAAACAACACTCAATTTGATAAAATAAGATAATAGGAATAGTTCTTTGTTTATTGAAATAAAAACCAAATTGAAACAACACTCAATTCAATAAACTAAGATAATAGGAATAGTTCTTTGTTTATTGAAATAAAAACCAAATTGAAACAACACTCAATTCGATAAACTAAGATAATAGGAATAGTTCCAAGTACATAGAAATTAAATTCAACTCAAAATACAACTCAAGGAAGTCCACGAGCTTCACCGGAATCCACAGTTTTCTTGCTCCTTGTACGACGACCGACGGGAGTAACAACAGGTGGTTGCGGTGGCAAATTTCGAACTCGGGCCGAGGTAGTGTGGCGCTCGTCGGTGTTGTGTCGGCGGGGAAGCGGCGCTTCCGGGGTCGAGCGGGGGACATCCGCGTTCATACGGTGAGGAGTAGGAGGCCACTACTGATGAGGGCGAGTTAATGGGTTGAATTCGTGGTGCGCCGTCGTGGAGGAACCATCATGCCAAGTACTCGATGATGTTTGGCGGGGAGATGGGGGGTAGACAGGGAGGGAACGTAGTATGTTTGGCGGGGATATGGGGGGTAGACTGGGCAGAAATCGTAGTACATTTGGCGGGGAGATGGGGGGTAGACCGGGCGTGAATCGTAGTATGTTTGGCGGGGATCGTTGTATGAGATCAGGATGGGACTCGGAGGGGGTTTGATGGTAGGTCGAGCGGGGATCGTAGTATGTGCTTGGGTGGGGATCATTATGGTAGGAGGGGCGGAACTCTTGGATCGTAGTATGAACTCGGGCGGGGATCTTGGGCAGAACTCGGGCCGGCACCTTGGGGGGAACTCGGGCCGGCACCTTGGGGGG